CCCCCCCCCCGCAAACCTTTCGAACCCTCCACCGCTGCCAACATGACAGCCCACCCAGTCCCTAACGTACCATCACATCGAGTCCGCCGAGCCAATAGCCCCCCAGCCCCAACCAACCACCCAATCAGATCCTCCCCACCTTCCCAATCGCCTCCCAAACCGCCCCCCAACCTCAAATCCCAAAACCCTTTCACCCCCCCCCCCCCCCCCCCCCCCCCCCCCCCCCCCCCCCCCCCCNCCCACCGCAACAATCCCTAGGAAACTTTTCATTGCAATATGTCGGATGAAATGTTTTTGCGCGATTGTGGCCCCGTTGTTGGCTGATTGTGGTTGGTTGTGGTCGCACTCTTACCTTCCGAAATGACTTGCTCATCGTGTCCACAAGTTCCGCGATATCGGCCTAAGCAAAATTCACCAGTGAACAATTAAAAATCACCACGTGATACCCAAACAACACGAGTGAATCGATCAAAGTCGAGGGTAAAATTGATCCACCCAGTTGTGAAAAATCATTTCACTTGTGCTGTTAACTAACCGCCCGTCGGGGGGGTGGGGGGGTCACAAGAATTCGTGAGGGGTTCAATGTGTGTGCAACACAAAGAGAGAGAAAAAATAATCGGAGAGGAGTAGTCGGGTCAGAGCCTGGTGATTGATACTAAAGAGAAAAAAAATATCGTCGAGAGAAAAATTGGGATTAACTCCAGTGGAAAATCTATTGAAATTGGAAACGACAAAAATTAAATGTAGAGTACTTCAACAATAGTGAGAACAATTGTTCCCGAAAGTTTGTGGGGTGTATAAATAAATAATTGGGTGGTGATGGGAGCTAAAACAAGTACAGTGGCACAAGCTGCTGGTGGTAATGGTCAATCGTCGACTGGCGGTAATGACACGACCATTCAGGGCTTCTCGATATTGCGATCGTTGCCGGGTGGTGTTGGTATGCTCCAGCAGCATCAACAAACTAACCAAACACAGGGGTCGAGGGTGCCTGGGGACAGCAGACAGCGGGCGAGATCGTTGAGCTCAGTGCCAGATTTGTCGTCTGGTGAACAGGGTAATTTGGGAAATTCGGTCGGAGTTAATGTTGGTCAGGCACTTGGACTTGGAAATCTTGACTCGGATGATGGGGATGAGGACAGTGGGAGGGTCTATGCTGCTCACAGTTTGCCGTCTCATATATGGTCTTTAAATGGTGAGTGGTGAGCTCGTTACTTTCATTATTGGTTTTTGGTTTTGGATAATAATTGGTTTTGGTAGGGGAAGGTGGGGAGTGCATCTTTTTGAATTGTGAATAGCTGTTGAATAAATGATGCGATTGGGGTGAATTAGGGCTCATTTTGAGGGTTGAAAAAGTATTTTGAAAATGAAAAGAAAATTTTTGATTTTCACTCTGCCAATTTGGAGTTATTGGGGATTTAAAATGGTCGTTTTACTAGGAAAGTCGTTTTTTGGGAAGGAAAGGTTTTTAAATCATTTGTATACTGGCCAAATAGTGCAATGGGAATTGATTAGAGCTCATTTTGAAGCCTGAAAAAGTATCTTTAAAATGAAAACAAAATTATTGAATTTCACTCTACCGGTCCTGAGATATTGATGATTGAAAAACGGTTAATTTTACCCCAATGTCCTCTAATGTCAACACAACAATTGGAACTCTTGAATTCAATTTTTGGAAGATAGTGGAGTTGATTCTGATGGAGTCTTTATTTACCTGGGGTTGAACAAAAAATTCTAGCCCCCAGGTTCTTCTGAACAGATCAATTAAGGAAAGATGAGGTTCGTAATCATCAATATCTCCAGATGTAATGATGCAATTGAGATGAGCCAAGGCTCATTTTAAAGCCTGAAAAAATATCTTGAAAATGAAAAAAGAATTTTGATTTTCACTCTGCCAATCTGGAGTTAATAGAGATTAACGAAAGGTCATTTTACACTCTTCTTCGCTGAGTAGTCCAGCTATGGGGGATATTGCTGGCGTTATCAGTTGTCATGAGCTTTGTTTTCGCGAATATCAAAATAAACGCAGTTTCTCGTTCAGACAACGTGATAAAGCTGGTTGGATTGACCTAGCCCAACCCGAGATGCGAGAACCTGAGTGATTACAGTGGGAGGTTATGTCCCATGATGTGGGGATTGATGTTATTATTGTCAAGTCATCAATCACCATCCTGTAATTTTCGAATTCCGTTGGGAGTTATTGGGTTTCATTGGGGTTGATTCATTGATTGACGCGATTTATTGGAGAGTAGAAGGCAAAATTTCCTGGGGACGACTGCACTTTTGCATTAGAATTTTTTTTTGTTTATAATTTTTCTTCTATTTTTTTGAAATAGCTAATCCAATTTCTTCGTCATAATTACATTATTGGGTTTCATATTCAGTTCTGTTCCATTTTTAACCAATAAATTTGCTATTATGTTCATGTTTTCTTCCTTTTTTACTTCTCCAAAATAATTAAAAATTTTAGTTTGATTAAAGATGAATGATAAGATACTGAGAAGATATTCAATATCTAAATGTTCTAGTCCACAAGGTTTTCTCAATAAATAAATTGAATCGCTCGTCAATAAAGACGTCATGTGCTCCATTAGTTCCCCTGATTTTTTTCTCCTGGCAAATATTTAAATGAAAGTATGATGGCCTTCTTATACTTCTTGGGGACTGGAATGCAGAATTCCTTGGGGACGACTGTAGTTTTGCATTAATATTTTTTTGTTTGCAATTATTCTTGTGCGGTTTTGAAATAGTAAATCGAATTTCTTCGTCATAACGACATTAATTCTTTCTTCATTTTTATCTTTTCCAAAATTATTAAAAATTTTAGTTTGATTAAAGATAAGGGACAAGACATTGAGTGATTCTCATGGAGACTTGATGAACCTGAACTTGAACATGTTTTTAATATCTAAATATTCTAGTTCACAAGGCTCTCAATAAATAAATTAAATCGTTCATCAATAATGGTACACTGAGAAAAAAAAATGTTTTAGCCAAGTATATTTACTAAGTACAAGAACATTTACACGCGTCTTATCCAGATATTTATCTAAATTTACTTGTGGCAAGTAAATGGATGTTTGGCAAAAATAATTGTTTCTCTCAATGAGTTCCCACGAAATTTTTCCAACTGCGTGGACCTCCACAGCATTCCTCCTCCCGATGCACCTGAGAGAAAAACAAACACGTTGTCAAACAAGTCTTGTTTGGGCCAACAAAATCGCTATTTGAAAGTCTCAAACATGAATAATTGTTCTGCTCTCGACAGCAACGAAATATTTGGCCCACGAGGCGGATAATTCACCCCAGACGGTGCCTTTTCAGGATGAAAATATCTCATACAGAGGAAAATCTATCAACAACATATCACTATTATTGTTTCATTTAAGAGTTCATTCGTTGTCTGTGATTATTAGTCAGCCGAAACGAAAAACTATCCCTTATTTCGCACAAAACAAAGATTTTTCTGGAGCAAAATACGTATGGGAGTATCGAATAACGAAGGAGTAGTGCTAGAAATGACATTCCTTGCGTGTACAGAGTCTGCAATTTTTTTTCAACTACTAAATCTATTTTTGCGACAAAAACATTTCATTCCGGCGCACGAAAAAATTCTTTCTTGATAATTTTCAAAAAACTATTTTGTCGGCACAAGTAAGACTTGTTTGAGAACTTTGTCGTTCATCTCTCGGTGCACCGAAGCCCCAAGACCCTCTTCATCTCAACAGCCCCGATGAAGCCTGACCTAGCCCAATCCCCACCGCCCCAGCAACCCCACCCCAGGTTCGTCCCCCAATGTCGCCCGGTGGCAAATGCCCAAAAGCCTCGTCATTGACGCCTCCACGTGACGGAGTATCGACGGTCATGAATAATCCAGGAGTGCTCTATAGCATTGGCAGGATGAGTTCTGGATACCTATCAACTTGATCGTGTGTAAAGAAAAGAAGTTGGATTGACTGTTCGAGGGCATTTGTGGTGGCTGGCTGGTTGGCCTGGTAACCACTGATGTACAATCGATGCCGGATTCGTCCGTCCCGAGGCAGTTGTCTATTATTTTTGCCAAGAGTCACAGCGAATTGTCCGGGATTAATTCGTCTGGTGTTGGGTGACACTCGTCGAAACCCGTCCGACAGATTGTCATCTCTAGGGGGGGAAATGCAGTCGGTGGGTTTAAAAACGATTAATGGGATGGGTTGGTGCTGGCTCACCTAGGGCAACACTATGGGGAAATGGGAGTTATTGTGAGCTCATGCTTGAACGAATCACAGACTGATGTTGTACCAACGCATCATGCTAGACGTGTTATTTATGGTATTTTTAAACTTGTCTCGCAATCTCTTGGATTACGAAATTAATGCGATGGTTGTCTCGTGATTTTTTTTTTCTGTTCAAGGTCTCAAGTGTCCTGTGTGCTCCAAATTTATACTACCGGATGATATTGAGTGCCACTTAGTTATGTGTTTGACGAAACCACGCCTTAGCTACAACGGTTTGTTGATTTTTCATTCGGGAATTGGGTGAGGGGACGGGGTTTTAAAGGATGTGGCCTTTTTTTATTTTGCAGAGGATGTATTGGCTGATGAGAAGGGGGAGTGTGTCATTTGCTTAGAGGAACTACAGCCTGGTGATGTGATAGCCCGTTTACCATGTCTTTGCATATATCATAAAAAGTAAGGGATTTTATTGATATTGATGTCATACTTGGTTTTTTATAGGCTGGGTGATGTTTTAGGTGATATTGAGGGGGGACTGCACGAGATTTCGAAGGCCCAGGGGCCTTTATTTATCTTTATTTATGAGCTTACGTCATTTTTCATAAGATTTATCGAATTTCCAAAAGCAATCCCCGAAAATTCGATGGAATTCTCCAAAAAATTCATCTGTAAAATTCATTTCACACACGTAAAATTATTATTTTAGGCTTTAAAATCATTTTTCTAATTTTATAATTCCTTGAGCTAATAATCACAAATAATAATTACAATCTTGAATTTTTAATTGCATCGATAAATGTTTTTTGATGTTTTATTTATATTGAGGGGGGATTGAATGAGATTTCAAAAGCCCAGAGGCCTTTATTTATCTTTATTTATGAGTTTATATCATTTTTCATGAGATCTATCGAATTTCCAAAAGCAATCCCCAAAAATTCAACAGAATTCTCCAAAAAATTCATCTGTAAAATTCATTTCACACACGTAAAATTATTATTTTAGCCTTTAAAATCATTTTTCTAATTTTATAATTCCTTGAGCTAATAATCACAAATAATAATTACAATCTTGAATTTTTAATTGCATCGATAAATGTTTTTTGATATTTTATTTTATATTGAGGGGGGATTGAATGATATTTCGAAAGCCCAGGGACCTTTATTTATCTTTATTTATGAGTTTACGTCATTTTTCATAAGATCTATCGAATTTCCAAAAGCAATCCCCAAAAATTCAACAGAATTCTCCAAAAAATTCATCTGTAAAATTCGTTTCACTCACGTAAAATTATTAATTTAGTCTTTAAAATCATTTTTCTAATTTTATAATTCCTTGAGCTAATAATCACAAATAATAATTACAATCTTGAATTTTTAATTGCATCGATAAATGTTTTTTGATATTTTATTTTATATTGAGGGGGGATTGAATGATATTTCGAAAGCCCAGGGACCTTTATTTATCTTTATTTATGAGTTTACGTCATTTTTCATAAGATCTATCGAATTTCCAAAAGCAATCCCCAAAAATTTAACAGAATTCTTCAAAAAATTCATCTGTAAAATTCGTTTCAGACATGCAAAATTATTAATTTAGTTTTTAAAATCATTTTTATAATTTTATAATTCCTTGGGCTAATAATCACAAATAATAATAATAATCTCTAATTTTCAGTTGCATCGATAAATGGTTTCAAGTGAACCGTAGCTGCCCCGAGCATCCGGGCGATTGATTTTGTAATTGTTGAGTTTGCAAGAGATTTTAAAAAAAAGAAAGAAAGTTATTCAGGGAGAAGAGCATATACGGAAGAGAGTTGAATTTGTACACATATATATACCATACACGTATATCCAGCAGAGTGTGTATATACCACATAGCCATTCTGATGAATGAGATTGCGTATTTAATCTATAGTTTCAATGCCAGTGCAATGAGTGGTGTCTCCTGTCTTTTTACAAGAAAAACAATAACATCGTGAAAAACTTCATCGCAACGGACATCACGTCATTGCCTGACGGCACTTGAACATCCCTGGATGAGAGAAATTATTATATAAAAGAGTGAAAGAGGAATAATTGAATAAATAAATAACTAGTCAAGGTGGCCGCTAGTCTGCGATGGTGGTTTTCGTATACACGTGGCGATCGTTTTTCGATTTTTTATTTTATTTCATTTACAATGTGAAACCTTCGATTGTCCGTCGAGATTTTAACAATGGCACGAGGGAAGCGTCTAATTTAATCTGATGATTAATACTACAAATAAAAACATGGACGAATGAATTTCATCGAAGTACCTAGCGAATTCGGTTGAAAATTCTATTGGATTTCTGTTCAAATTTGGTTTTGTCAATCATTATTAACACATTCCTCAGTTTGAGGAAATGCCGAGCACTTCAATTTTTTTTATTTCTTGTACGCTTTTTCAATCTTTAAAAAGAGAATTGGATTTCTACGGAACTTGCAGGGAAAATTTTATTAGTTTTGGACGAGTATTTTGAAGAAATTAATTTTAAGAAAAAGATTATTTTCAGCAGAAACTATTTTGTAGAAAAAATCAGACGAATTCCATCTTTCTGTAGAATTTTTCTCTATTGAGACATTTTCTATAGAAGTTCGACATGAATTTTCCATGTTTTTTCCAGTCTATCTTTCTTTGTTTTTTACTAGAAACAATCGAACAAAAAACTTGGAACATTTGAGACGAGGAATTGCTATAGAAAATTCGAATTCTTCAAATTTTTCCTATAGAATATTTTCTACTGGATATTTCTAGTTAAAAAATGCGCATATAAGCTCTGGAATTTTAGTAGAAAGTTCAGTAAATTCCATTGGACTACAATAGAAACTATTTTATAGAAAAAAATGAGTGGAATTTTATTTTTCTATACAAATTTTACTCTAGAAATTCCTCGACATGAATTTTCTCATTTTTTACTACTCTATTTTCCTTCTTTTTTCATTAAAAAAATCGAACAAAAAACTTGGAACATTTGAGACGAGGAATTGCTATAGAAAATTCGAATTCTTCAAATTTTTCCTATAGAATATTTTCCACTGGATATTTCTATTTAAAAAATGCGCATATAAGCTGCGGAATTTTAGTAGAAAGTTCAATAAATTTCATTGAACTGCAATAGAACTACTTTATAGAAAAAAATGAGTGAAATTTTATCTTTCTATACAAATGTTACTCTAGAAATTCCTCGACATGAATTTTCTAATTTTTTACCACTCTATTTTCCTTCTTTTTTCATTAAAAAAAGTGAACAAAAAACTCAGAGCATTGAAGACGAGGAATTTCTATGTCTATTTCTATATCTCAATAGAATAAATTGTACAGAAAAATTGAATTTTATTTATTTTTTCTATAGAATATTTTACGTTGAATATTTACATTGAAAAAAGCGCCGATAAGCTGCGGAATTTTTCAATAGAATCGGCCAAAAACTAATAAAAAGTTCAATAGAAATCCACCAGAATTTTCTACCGAATTCGCTATTTTTTTAATGAATTTTTTTCGTACGTGAAAACAAGGGACTTACTAAATCGATACGATTCAGCGATTTAAAAAAATGCTATTATCTATACGTACCTATAATTATTCTATTACTGCTCTGTCGCTTACTATCGATTGTACTATATTTATAAAATTTAATTAGTTTTACATCTTCAAGTCGAATAGTGATTAAGATAAGAGGAATAAAACAAGGAGGTATAAAAAAAATGAAATGATATTCGTGATCACTGTTAATGAGTAATTATGGTTTATCGGAGAGAATGGAGAGAGGAATATAAATATAACGTGAGATGTAACTGAGTGTGATGTTCCTGCTTTGTGTACAAGCCGGTGCTTGAAGACGGGGGGGAACTCTAATCTAGATAAGTTAGTTATTAATTTTAACGATTTTACAAGTGACGGAGGAAAATTCATTGAGACGATGTACTGTTTTTTTTTGTTGCTCGTTGTGGGAGGGCAAGGCGGGATGTGGGTGAGTTAGAAAGGATATTTTTGATACTTTCATAAATGGAAGGGATGCCAGGATGCGTAATCATAGAGAAATTGGTGATAAGGACTTGTCATAAATGCTGTTGACGCTGTAGTAATAATAAAGGTTCTAATTTAACCTTCTTTTACTCGTTTTATTTTTGTTTGTTGGGTTGAAAATGAACGTGAATAAAAACATTAATAAAGTTTTCTGAGATATTGTATTGAAGTCATTTCATTTCTTGTTTTGAGGTAAATGTAGCACAGTATGAAATTTAAGGAAAATGCGAAAAATCGCTAGAGGTTGGGTTTATCCCACGACCTTGAGGTTTCCAGTCTGAGCCTTTACACACATCCACTCGGTGTCTGAGAAACTGTTACTTTTTGCTGAAAAATTTGCCATTTTTGCTTTTTCAATATACTTTCAATGAATATTTTTTCATTAAAAAAAACAATAGTTGTTTTTTTTGTATTACTTATTCTGCTGGCCTTTGTAATGAGAATAACAGATCACAGATTTGCGCCGTGAAATTTCAACCAAAAGACGATAGAAAAATTCGAAAGATGGCGTAAAAAATTTGTTCATTTTATAGAAAACGTATGAAGTGAGTTCAGGGTGATCTGAAGAGGATAAATAATTTTAAGGAATGTTTAAAAATTCGAGGTGGAAACGCCGCCATCTTGAAAGGCCCGTCCGGCAGAGGGAGGGGGTATCTAAGCAAGATGGTGGCGCCCACATCCATCAATCACCTCGTATTTTTAAACATTTCAGCTGACGTTCAGCTCATTCTATCGTTTCCAAAAAAAAAATTTTTCAGAGTTTTTCTCTTATTTTAGTAGTTTTCTTTTACTCCCAAGGCTTCTCGGAAGTAATTTCTATCAGAAAAATTCCAAGACAATAATTCTCACAGAAAAATGAATTCCATACTTTCTAAAATTGAAATAATAACTCCATTTATTTTTTTCAATTCAGATTCATGCAAGGCATTGAAATTCTAATCAATAAAAATATAGTCCAGAAAATACAAAATGTGTAAGAAAGTGGTTTATTATTCATAATACATCTCCTTCACTCCACCTCCCTCAAAAATTTATACTCAATACAAAGAAAAAAATATCCAGCTCAATCACTCGCTCTCGTGACTGAGCCCAACATCTCGTCACCATGATACACAACAAAAAATATATCTAGAACTGTTTATATATATATTTGTTTATCTAGGTATCTCATTACAAATATAAGTCAGTTGAATCGGTGTTATTCTTCAAATTCAGAGTCGAAAATAAAGTTGCACTTGATTAAATTCTCACGAAAAATCAGGAATAAAACCGAGAAAAATAAAGAGAATAATCATTATCAGCAGTAGAACGAATCGAGCCCAGAAAACATCAGATACAAATTATTCAAATAAAGAGGAACAAAAAAAAACATTTCAGAAATGTGGAAAATTGAGAATTGCACTCCCGTGCGTTTTTCTCTCTTTACTGTACCTCTGTCAATAAGTCTCTGGACACTTTTATCGAAACGTGAATTGAAATCAGAAGTAAAATCCTACTTTGAGTCAAATTAAAGATTTTCTTTTTGATTTTCGAGGGGAAAAAATTAAATAGAAAAACATTTGACACGATTGTACATCTTTTCTTCATAATCGAAAGTATTTTACTCAGGAAAAAAAGAGTAAAAAGTCGCAGTAGTTCGAAGAGAAGAGTTTGAATGGCTTGGGATGAGACAATTAGTCCGGCCTTTGATGAATATTTTCTGTAGAACAAAGTGAGATCTGCGAAAAAAAACGGCATCTCGAGTATTAAATTTAATAGAACAACCTAATACTTTCTCCAGGGAATGCTATTGAACTTTATTCCAATCAAATTTAAATACTATTTGTTTTTTGCATAGATTTTTGTAGAAAATTGATAGAAAAATTCAATAGATGTTGATGTTTGTTGACAATTTTTCTATAATTTTTCATACAATGTTTTATATTTTGTTGGGATTTTGTAATTTGAACAGAATCATTAAATTATAAAAACCAAAAATCCATTGATTTTTCTAATAGAATTTCTTCGAGAAAGTACTAGATTCTCCTCTTCTTATAAATTTAATAAAGAAATCCATCAAAAACTCATCCTAAATTATCCCTAAAATGAAAAAAAAATCCCATTTAACATCAGAAATTCGTCTCGATAAGACAGAAATAACAAAACTCTTCCCCTGAACCTTCAAGACTAGTCTATCATCTCCAGAATCTTCTCCAGAGAAAACAAAAAAAAATTGAAAAATCTCTATGGGAAGTCTCCGACACTCAGCACTTTTACCACTGAAATAAATCCTCTGGATGAATGGGAGAAAGACCTGATGATTATCATGGATGCTGGTTGAGGAGCAGTGCTCGTGCTGCCATCGCCAGCATCTTCATACTCTTCGATGTGCGATGATTTGGATTTGCAGTGACGAAGGAAGCTAGCTGGGTCTGGAGGGTCATCAAGACAGTGCCCATGTGTTCACGAGTCACTGGGTCTGTTGGGTCGAGATTCAGGATTGCCTCCTCAAGCCATCTAGATGAAAAATGAAAGAAATTTAATGAATTCATGATGATAACATGAATCAATTACAGAACGATGAATAAAAGATTTGAGTTAATTTTAATTGAACTTTAATTTAAGGTTCTAGTTGTATTTTTTGTGGAGAATTATTTTTTATAATAGATATTCGATGGAAAAAAATCTTTTTTGATTTTTCTGGGCGAACTATTCGATGTTTTTCCTTCATCTTTCATCAGCTGAAATCGTCAATTGAGTCCTGCATCATGCAGAAGTTTTGAAAAATTATGAATGAATAATCATAAAAAAGTAGAAGAAATTCTTAATTTTTTCAAAGAGCATTTTCAATTTATATTCTGAATAAGTTGAATAACGTCTCAATCCTCAACTCCGCAATAATTTCTCTCCCATCAACTCACTTATGCTTGAGCTCCGTACGATGTCCAAGATCAGCACTCAACTGCTGTACCAAGGACAGTATCACAGGTTGTTGGAGTAAGCATCTAGAATTTGGTCCAGGTCCCCCCGAAGCGGGGAACACCCTGGCAGGTTCAGTCTTTTCACAAACGTAAACAACGAGCCCCAGGTCACTGGCACTGAGAGCCTGCTGGAAAGCAGCATTCAACTGTCCCCTCTGGAGGAGGGACATGACCCTGGCCTGTGCATCAGCAGGACTGCTGACAGTGATGCCAGGAGTGGTGGCCCTCGACCTCGCTTGAATGTCGATCAGCTGCTGTCCCAAATTATCTCTAACAGACTCCTTCACAGACCTGAGAATAACAATTTTCCAATTAGTGTCAATGAAAAATCAACTCATTTCTCTCATCATTTCATTTTTAATCCACATTATTCTCACGAATTTGTTATTAAAAATTTCGAGGAAATAATTCATACAGAAAAATCAAAATATATCGATTTTTTCTATTAAAATATTATTCTTCATAGCATAGTTCAAAGAGCAAATCCAACTGAAATCCAATTTAAATTGACTGAATAATTAAACGAATAAAAAATAGATAAATGAATAAATCACTTCAGTAGTTCAAGAATTGACTCATCTCATTGTTTAATAAAAAAAAAAATAATCAAATTTATATAATTCTCCATAAAAAATGCAAATAGAAATTGAAACTAAAGTTTAATCAAAATTTCCGAAATAATTAAACAAATAAAAAATAAATGAATAAATGACTTTATTATTATTTTTAATTCAATAATTGATTCATCTCATTATTTAATACAATAGATTAAACAATTAAATTTAAATGATTCTCCATAAAAAAAGTGCAAATATAAATTGAAAACAAAGTCCAATTGAAATTGAATCATCTCTTTTCACTATTATTCTTTGATTAATTTGTTATCATCAGACCTGAGAATTCCATCCTGCAGATTTCCAAGTCCCTTGGTCATCTCGTTCCTCAACTCCTCCCTGACTAGGTTGGAGAGGGCTTCACTCTGCTGTTCGTTCCTCCTCTGGCACGCCTTCTCAACTATCTGCTCAATGTGCTGGAGATACTCTCTGGTACCTTTGGCAAAGGCATCCTGGATCTGTCTGAACATTGAGTGACAGGCTTTCTCGATTCCTGGTAATAAGAGAGTCGAAAAGGCCTCTTTGAAGGCATTGTCCAGTGCTGGTTTTGCTGAACTGCAGACTGCGAGGCTGATTATGTCTCTCATGTGGGCACCACCAATCAACTGTGAATAAATAAATTATAGAGTTATGATGATAATTTATTATGAAGAAAGTTAATAGTTGAAACAGTTAAAAATGTATTGAAATTTTATCAAAAATTACATCGTTTTGCCAAGAGATGTTATAAAGAAATAAAAATCGATTGACTTTTTTCCATTAAATATTTTTCAGGAGAATTTCTTTGACAGAACAGCTACCTTTAATTTTTTACTGTTGTAAATTTGGATTTAATCCAAGATAAATGTTTTTTTAAATTTTCAAATCAGGTGGATAATTATTCAAACAAATTATTCAAATAAATAAATAAATAAAACGAATGAACGAATGAATGAAACGAATACAACGACCAAAATATAAATAAACAAATACGTAAATGAATAAACGAAACGAACGAACGAATGAACTGAACCCTAAACTCCTCCGCAAAACCCACCTGCGTGAGATTATCCTTCAGGAGCTCATCCACCCTCGTCACATCGTTCCTCATCTGACTGGTCAACGGTGCCACCACCTCTCCCACGACCCTGGGCAGCGTGGCCTCAATATTCTTCTTCAAAGCCCCCTCGACAGTCCCCAGAAGTTCATTCTGCCTAGCCAAACTCGAGTACAAGCTCTGCTCGACAGTAGCCAATTGCTGCTGAGTAGCCCTTGCAAGAGCCGACTCCACCCTAGCTGAAACCGGAGTGTCCTGCCTGAGCGTAGTCACCTCCCCCCTAATCTCATTGAGCTCTCGCCTCTGGTCCTGCAGCACCTGAACAATTCCATCCAGCTTTGATGACAGTGCTGTCACCGCATTCTGAGTGGCAGCAATAATCTCCAGGGACTTGTCATCACTCTTTTTGCCCTCCTCAGCCTCCTGAGGATTCAGATGAACGTCCTTCAGCAGAACCATGGGAATGTTGGACCAGTTACCCTCGCTCTTCATGTTGTCTTCGATCTCCTTGATCTCCTCCTCCTCCTCGTCATCCTCGTCGGGCTCAGCAAGAGAGAGGATCTCCCTGACCTCTCGTGAGGGACTGCTGCCCCCACTGGGAGGTGCCTGTTCAATCTCACTGGTGGCCAGAGGTGCCTCCTGTATGTTCAGGGCTTGAACAGCTTGAGAGAGGGATGGAGAGGCTGACAGGACATTCCCCAGTTCAGGTGACGTCGAGCTCGAGATGTTCTCCTTCTTCGCTGGTGAGCTGAAGGCGTCAGGGGTCATCAGATTGAGACTCGCTGAGTGATTGGCTTCAATTGTTGCTGTCACCGACTCCTCCCCATTCTCCTCAGCAATGCCATTCTGCTCGTGACGAATGTGCTGGAGGTCCTCAGCATAATCCAGGGAGTCGTGGGTCAGTGTGTCCATCAGGCAGGCGTTGGAGATGAGTTTGGCTGGTTGGAAGGCTATGTGACACTCCTGCAGGGACTTTGGCTGCACCAGGTACATCCTGATGACCAGCTGATCCTCACTCTCGTCGTCGCAGGGACTGAGGTCCTCCAGGGACTCACCTGTCGGTCGTACCTTCCTCATTCCAGCGTCGACAATGGCGAAACTCAGGATTGAGTAGGGCAGGAGGAACTCGGATATACTGGCTACACATGCCACTGAGTCTGTCGTGTCCTTGGAGAGGCTGAGGATGTAGAGGGCTTTGTTCGCTATGTCGGACATCAGGAGGAAGCCCGAGGCCAGGTCGAGACCTGCTTTGAGGACTGGGGTCTTCCCCGAGGTCGGGGAGGGCTGGAATTTTATGGTCTGCAGGCACACCCACTTCTCGCATGACCAAATCTTCAGTTCACTGTTGTTGTCGCAACCGGTGACAGCGAAGCGCCAAAACTGCGCGTCCGCCTGACAGTTCTTGTGGTCGTCCAGGAAGTAGAGGGAGGAGATGGAGCGACCCTCGTGGGGCTGCCACATGTGCAGGCAACTCGGGGTCTCTAGGGTACTTCCGATGAGGTTCACCTGGGGGTATTGAATTTTTTTTAAATTTCATTTAAGGGTGTTCTACACCCTTTCTGCCAAAATTCACGTTTTTTAAATTTTTCTGGCAAACTTATGATGGAATTGACGTGAAAAAATATAACGTTTTTGCGTTTTGTCATTATTTAATGACTGACGAAATTTTAAGGTGGTGCGAACATTTTCCTGCGTTTTCTCTAAACTTTTAAAAAGAATCACAAAACTGTAGAAAAAACGCATGAAAACTATTGCACCACTACGCTACTTCGTGAGCCATTAAAGAATGACAAACCACAAAATCGTTATATTTTTTCACGTCACTCCCATCGATAATTTGACAGAAAAATGAAAACAACGTCAATTTTGGCTAAAAGGGTGTCGAACATCGTTAAGTCCGGGTGTACTATCTTTCGAATGTTATCCCGATGTATTTTTTTCATCTTTCGTCATCTGAAATTGTCAGAAAAGTAGAAGAAATTCTTTATTTTTTCAAAGAGAATTTTTAATTTATATTCTAAATAAGTTGAATAACGAGAAATTGAAAAATGTATCTGATTTACGGTGACAAATGGCGGCCTGTCACCCAATATCATCCAGGGGGACGACTGATTTCGTAAATCTTTTCCCCACACTGCACAGAGACATTTATTACGGAAAAGGCTCTTTGAAAAAAGTTGTGGTATTTTGGAGAATTTTTTAATCACAATTTTATCACATAAAAATGGCAGATGACTACATACTACTGTTTTGAAAATTGAGATAGCTAGCTGTGACTTCCCATGAGGGTTAGTGTTCTGTTATCCACCATGGAAAATGACAGCTAATAGATAATTTGCCACTGAATCTCAATTAAAAACGCTCTTTGCAAAAGTTCAGAATTTTTTCGATTTTTTACCATTCTATCATAATTTTTGGGAATTTCTACATGATGTACCACTCAATTGACAATTTTGGATTACGAAAGATAAAAAAAATCCAGATAACATTCGAAAAATAGTTCCTCCGGGCCTTAAAGCGTTAATTTCTCAAATGTTTTCATCGCAATATTTCTCACAAACTCGGCATCGAAAAAATCTCACCTGAAAGAATTTGACTTCCCCATCGAGTCCAGCAGTAGCAATGGCGGTGCCATCAGGGCTGAGAATGGCTTCCACAATAGTCCCCTTGTGCTTGCAAATTTCCGTGAAGCCCCCACAGTTGGAGACATTGGGATCGCTGAGATTGAGAGGTCCAGACCCGAGTTGTGTGAAGACATTGTCGACAGACCAGAGCTCAGCGGATGCCCCCCTAGTCACGATGAGGAGTTTGGAGGCGTCGTCGCTCTCCGAGGTGTCGTCCTCTGGGATGTAGGGGCACCAGATGACCCTGTGGGTCGTCGGTGACGTGTCCTCGGCGACGATGTGCAGCTGGAGATTGCAGACGAGTTGAGTCGCCGAGGAGACGATCGTGTGGACAAAGACGCTGCCCACATAGTCGACACAAGCCAGAATGGCGTTGGTCGCGTGGGCAAATGCCAGGTCCTGGATCGCTCCCTGCATTCCTCGGAGGAGGGCCCTCTGCTCCAGGTCCTTGTAGACCACTCTGACCACTCCAGCTCCACTCCCTGATTTTATACCGTACGCCAGGTACTTCCCCGACATGTGGACTGCCAGAAGCTGACCTGTGTAGAAGTGGGGCTCCCAGGTGAAGTCCACTATGTTCTTTAGTTTCACCTTGGAGCTGCCGTGGTCGTGACCGCCTGGGGAGGGAATCACTGTCACGTCTGTTGAGTATATCTCCACTGAGTGCTGATCCTCGGTTCCGTGAAATTCACTGGGGATTTTAGGATTTTCATTGGTTATTTGAGACTAAAATCACCGTCATTTCGGGTATTATTTTCCTCATCCCAAGCCCAATGAATTATCACCCCCCCGAGCAACTCAAATTGATTGTTTATAAATTATTTATAGAAAATGCTTCTAATTTTCAAAAATTGCTGTGTTAAATTACTTCATCAATCTTCCTCCAAAAGTAAACTTTCTAGTTCTTTTTCAGATTTTGAAAATGTTTTTTAACATTTAGACTTTAATAATTGCAGACTTTAAATAATCAAATCATTGAAAAATAAGTAATTGTAGGAGAAAATCCAATTCTAGGAGTTCGTATACACCCTCACCGCCCCTGAAATCAAAACAAGTGGCTTTTCCACCTGTTTCAGAAGGCGTTTTCCACTGGAAATGATCTGCCCTCCAAAAAAAATTCACCATTTCCCCCTGAAATCCCCAGTCCCCAAGATTAATCCCCAATCAACAAAATTAAAACCAACCCACAACGTCGAACAGAATAATTTGTTGAAACCGTCTATTTTTGGATTTTCAAGAGCTGGATGAGACTAAAATCACCGCCATTTCGGGTATTATTTTCATCATCCCAAGCCCGATGAATTATCACCCCCTCGAGTAACTCAAATTGATTGTTTATAAATTATTTATAGAAAATGCTTGTAATTTTAAAAAATTGCAGTGTTAAATTACTTCATCAATCTTCCTCCAAAAGTAAACTTTCTAGTTCTTTTTCAGATTTTGAAAATGTTTTTTAACATTTAGACTTTAATAATTGCAGACTTTAAATAATCAAATCATTGAAAAATAAGTAATTGTAGGAGAAAATCCAATTCTAAGAGTTCGTATACACCCTCACCGCCCCTGAAATCAAAACAAGTGGCTTTTCCACCTGTTTCAGAAGGCGTTTTCCACTGGAAATGATCTGCCCTCCAAAAAAAATTCACCATTTCCCCCTGAAATCCCCAGTCCCCAAGATTAATCCCCAATCAACAAAATTAAAACCAACTCACAACGTCGAACAGAATAATTTGTTGAAACTGTCTATTTTTGGATTTTCAAGAGCTGGATGAGACTAAAATCACCGCCATTTCGGGTATTATTTTCATCATCCCAAGCCCAATGAATTATCACCCCCTCGAGTAACTCAGTGGCTGTGCGAATATCGCATGATGCAACGAATGATTCATTTTCTCCGAATCATTATCTAACCGTTCGGCCACATAATTTTGATAATTCTTTGTTGCAAAAACTGGTGACGGTTCCCCGAACCCGAGGGGGACGCAATCCTCAGGTTATCGTGTTGAACACCTCGAGAGGTACTTACACTGTCTGCTGAAAGGGCCTCAGGCCCTCTTCCCCCGTCTTGATCATCCTGACGACAATTAACGCCTCAAATACCGAAATTCAGGGATTTACAGACACTTTGTTACAGGTATTTTTCAGTGAAAAGGGATTCTAACCTAAGTGCCGGTGGCACGCCTGACGCGACTGTACATTCAGACGAGCGCCCACGGACTGACACGAATCACGATTCACGAATGCCTTGCGAATTCAATGATGCAGAGAGATGTAAAATGACTGTCATTTTTTAGATCGCGTCATATGACCAAAAAATGACAAATTGTTGACAAATTGTTGTCAAACCATCTATATAGTTGCATAATGACGGTCATAACTAATTTCCAATTTGTGACGGTCATGAATAAAACAAAATAGTTTCATCTATAGATGGAAAAAAACGTGATTTCCATTTCAAAATGCGGATTAGGCCAATACAAAAGGAATTCAACTGAAAATTGACCGAGAAAAAAATAAAGTTTCATCTATATTGATGAAAAATGACTGTCATTTTTTCTTGACAAGTTGTGACGGTCACAGAAGGGGGAGGGGGAATCGTGACAGCCGTCAATGACGGTCACATGACCGTCATGTGACGGGTGATGTGACGCATTTGCATCTCTAGATGCAGCGGATATGTCTCCTAATGAAGCCGACGCACCTCTCGCTTCGGAATAAATCCCCAATTTTTGGTTCTAATCATTCATTGGGGGGGGGGG